GCAATAACTCAACAACGCCGTAACCGAATTTCAAAAACCAAACATGAAATGATATCAGAATTTAACGTAGCACCTGAATATGTAATGATATACAGGGCGTTCTATTTTAAAAAATGGAATTTTGGTCTGTAGCACCTACACCAAACACCCTGTATATTTAAAAATCATATCAAAATAAAGCTCTCATGAACTCCTAAAACTTTTGTATGAAACATTTTTGTGTATCTCCTTCAACAAACCTTTGCTGACTAGTTGAGAACAACACTTGGAAAATATAATATCTTTGGGTGATCAGCAGAACCGAAATGTACTCTTATAACACATGTTATTCCAATATTTTGATAAAATTTATTATCATCTTCAGGGAAAAGTTACAAAATTTGTATAATGTATACAATATAAAAAAATATTATTATGAAAGGTCTCAACTTACTATTAGTGAGGTTGGCCATGTCGAAAAGAATGTTACATTTAAACAATTGAAACATGTCAATACAATAAACAAGTCATTACATTAAAATAGGTTGACTCCTCACTGGATACGATATTCTTCTTTGAATCTGCATTATATTGATTTAAGCAATTGGCGATTGTGCCAATGCAGTCCATCTAGCCTCTCGCCAAAAAAAAAATATGGAGAGGAGGTAGACCTAGAAAGATCTCCATGGACACTGATGGTGTGGTACTGATGGCCAGTCTGAGCCTTTTTTTTGTAAAGCCTTCGGCCACCAGGAAATTGCTCCATAAGTGATCATTGGTCTTTACAATCATTACATGAATCCAACGGATTTGTTTGGGACCTAAATCCCAAGTTTTACCACAAATCCTTCGACATGTTCATAGGGACATGAATAATGACATCGCCGTCTGTTGACCTGGCTCCAGCCTCTGTTTACTGTTTCAGAGACCGTCCCACAGGTAACTGTTTTCACCCCTATGAAACTCATGCTCTTTCCCACATTTTCTGGCATTCATATGCGTGCCATGCATCCCTCAATCGCCGGTGCCCATGCGGTATTAAAGGCGTTGGGCAGGTTGAATGCCACAACGAGACTGTATTTCCTTCATCTCTTCTCTTTTATTCGCTTCACCATTTTCTTCACGGTCATCACAGTATCCATTCCTCCTCTTAAACCATACTGGTTGGGAGATAATTTTATCTCTCTTTCACACCAGACTTGAATCCTACCATTATGAAGCCTATCCAACATCCGTCACATGCCGGTCAGCAAGCTGATTGGCCTGGGATTTCTGTCCTTTGATATCCACACAACCTTTGTTTGCTTCCACACCTCAGGGAAATAACTTCTTTCCAGACAGGCGTTGAAAAGTTTTAACATGCACTCCTCTTTCCATTCGGTCGCCTTACAAATCATCTTATTGGGGACTCCATCTACGTCAGTCGCCTTTCCATCGAGGAGCTGCTCAGCTACAGCTCGTAGCTCCCCAATCGTAAAAGCTGGTTGGTCCTTTTCCATTCTCCTCTATCAATCTCCCTAATCCGACGGCTGAGCGGAGTATCGCTCAAATGATCATCCCTAGGGAAGTACTTTTTCAGCAGATACCTGCTGGTTTCTTCCTTCCCCTCGGTAAAGGATCCATCTTCTCTCACATTAGAAGGGATTTTCCTATCATCGTTGAGGAGCCGGTAGTTCCACGGATTTTCATCCTGGATCAGCTCCACCATCTTCCTCAACCATACCATTCTAGCATTCCCTACTATTCTTTTATACCTATTCCTTTCTAACTTGTTCTCATTCATTCTTCTGTTCCTTGCATCCTCGTGCCCGATTCCTTGCGCTTCTCTTCTTATCCTTCTCACATTCCTACGTGAGCTTTCCAGCTCCGCGTTCCACCATTCTTTTTCAGGGACGATCATCCTTTCACTCCTAGGTATATACCTTATACACGCTTCCCACATTCTATCTTGAGGCGTTACCGCTTCCTTCTCAATCTCTCCTATCATACCTAGCCTACCTGGCCTGTAGTTCGATAAATCTTGTTCTATACCAGCCCAGTTGGCTCCTAATATTTGTTACCATTCCTCACCTTTGGTAGCCCCGTCAAGCAAAACTCAATCATCCGATGGTCACTCAGTGTTTCCTCCATGCATACTTTTTATTCATCAACCTGCGTATTTCCATTAATGGTCAGGTCGACCCAGCTCTCTCCTCTGTTACTAGAGAAAGTTGCCGGACTCTCGCAGTCATTCTCCATCAGGTAACCAAACGAAACGTTGCCACCCCAGGCAACATTTTTCGCATTCAACTCTCCAACCAGAATCTTCCTTCCTTCTCATTCATCGAAAATCTTACGAATTTCGTTCATTCTTATATTCCTCCTTCCACCCGGTTCATCATATACGTTCATGATCTTCATGCTACTCCTTTCGTTTCCTACAATTATACCGATTCTTTTCGCACTTCTTGCATTCTTTAGGGCCAGACTACTAACGAAGGAGCGAACCCAGGTTCGAACCTTCGTCCTTTCTCCTCCATCTTGTTTATTCCAGCCCTCCCGTGCTAGTTGTTTTCACCCAAGGCTCTTGTATACACACTACTGCGGCATCGCGCTCTTCAGCGGCCTTCCGCAGTAGTGTGGTGGCCTCCTCACACTTGCCCACATTAATTTGAAGGACCCTGAACATAGTTCGTTCTCCTCCGTTGCAATTCAACCCTTCTTATATATACCGGGCACTTGGGATCCAATGCCGAGTGCTTCCTTTCACTCCCAATCACACTGGCTCTTTTGCAGGTGACGCAATTGAGTTCACGATCACCTCTACATTCTTTCTCCTCGTGTTGCCTTCCACATTTGTTGCAGGCCGGTTCCTGCCTGCATGCTTCGCTGTACGCCCATAGTGACAACACCTGAGGCACACAGCCACACTGTTGTGTTCCTCTACATGTATACCGGTTCGGTCCAGGCTCACCACTCTCACTTTCATAAATCTGCAGGAGAGGATTGCACACACTTCTAGAACTATGTTCTCTTTCCAAGTATTCAATCTGCATTCTTTCCTTTTACACACAATCATTCCTCTCATTCCCTCCTGCGTGTGACCCTCACTCAGCCAGAGTTCTGCTCAAGCAGGAGTTCGATCAGTTCCTGATCTGCGTAGCCCTTCTGAACTGATTAGGTTTATGACCTTCTTTTACATTCACTCTCCTTTCATCCTGGAGCACATTCTGAATCTTCTGTTGTGCCTCTTCATTTTTTCCTTTTACTACAACCCGGAGCGGTTGCGGGTGATGGCTTCCACGTAGCTCATACAATGATCTTCTCTTGCAAAGGGGAAGATCTACCCTGGCCTGGGTTTACTTTCCCTCTCCTTTCCAAGTTCGGTTGTATATGTTCGCTTACTCCTGTTCTTCCTCTTCTTCCTCCCCTTCTTGCTCTCTACCACCTGAAAACCCACATCCGTTTTGGTATCATTTGCCATATTCTGGTGATGTTCGGGGTTTAGAACTAGTTCCATATATTCTATATGGTATATAAAGTATTTAATTTTTGTAGGGTGGATCAACAGAAGAAGAGGGTTCGTGAAACAACAGTCATCAAACGACAAGGCAATAGCAATATTCATAGATTGGGTGATAATAATGATAGTGATGATGAAAAGAAAACCTGGAACGGCAATTCCACACAACAGATGTAAACTGATATAAGTGTATTTTAAAACTATTTATCTATTGTTAATACATTTGCATACCTAAAATAAATTAATGATAGGTGTTTTGATTTTCGTTATGATTATTTATATTTATATAATAACATGTTTTCGATAAATAAATATCAATACATGTGAATACAATTTTCGTTCTACTTGTGAGGTTGCAATACACACAAATCCATGTTTTCTTCATTTACAATCCAGATTCAAAAGTTAATTTTGCAGTTAATTTTATTTGTGGAACTTTTAAATTTTTCTAACAAACAGTTTTCACCCTTATATACTTTGAAAGTAAAATGTAAAGTAATCATTAATATTCCGAAAGGTCATTATGCTGGCATATACATATTGGGTTTCACCAACCAAGTTTGCCTCTTCAGGCGATGAACTATATTCAGTAGTATGCTGATGATGAACTATACTCAACTGTGTAGTTAATAAAGTATAGACAGTAGTCATCAGAAAATGAACGGTATACCCAAGTTTACACGGTTTTGGACCTGAGCAACCAAAATGTTTACAAAGTAAGTTGGGGGCTGAATCCAAATCAGCAGCCGGGTTTTGAAATTGATTCTGGTTTTATCAATATTCATTGGACTATTTTTTACCAATAACATCCATTTATCGACCTAAAATGTATAAATCAGAAGTGAACAGAGGTTGAACCGAGTTTTATACTGCGTGCGAAACCGCAATAGTTTCACGTAATAGGGTCCAATAGTAATCGCTCATCATGCCTTTATCCTAAAATCCTTGGTATTGCCTTTCGATTTTCGCTAACTTTTGGTGTAGCCGCTCTACTTACTTGATGCTTGTATCGCCCATGTTTTGTGAGAAAAAATCAAAATGTGACTGCAGAAAATGTATCTTGACAGCCATTCGAGAGGTGATTTTGCAAAAAATTGTTGATTACTTGCTTGAAATCTGAGTAAGGTATGAACAACGCATTGAGAAATGCTGCTGCTGCTTCATAAGGCGTTACACATTTTGTAAACTTTGCGTCAGCCATTACTTATCGAATATCAGGTCCTACAAATATTCCTTCCAAGATTTTTGGTATAACAGTTTTTGAAACAACTTGTGGAGTACTGGAAAGCCGGTCCTTCGCGATAGAGCGCTCTGACAAAGTTCTTGATGAGGCTAAGTTTAATGTGAAGAGGTGGCAATAAAATGTCCTCTAGGTTCATAAGTGGTATAGAGGACACGTTTTGTGGTCCTGGCTCATAATGGATACGACTTGACCACACCTTTCTCGTATAATGGTAAATAATGGCATGGCTGTTACATAGACAAAAAAACAGCAAAATTTCATGAATCTAGTTTGCATTCCAACCAATAGACCAATAACCTGTAATGAATATGTCAAATCGTCACAAATTTTCCATTGATGCTCATTGAATTCGATCTTGGCCAAAATTGTACCTATGCAGTGTGGTAGCATTTCTTAGTTTGTACTGCATGAGCAATATCCAATATGAAGTAGAGCCACTTTCAAACTTTACTTGGAACCATCTATGAACAAACGCCATTCATTTCGATCATATGGTGTATTCATCACATCAAATAAACCCATCCATCAGTTGAATTACATACTTATGAGTTGCATGTCTTCCGTCATGTAATTCGTTAAAGATTCTAGCAGCAGCTCTTGCACAATTATTATTTTGGTAGTATAAACCTACAATTTCAATTCTTTCTTGCAAAGAGTAAACCATTTCAGCGAAACAAAATAAATAATGTATCAAAGTACACTATCAATAGTGACTGCAAATTCTAGTTGAAAATGTCAAACTTTAATAAAAAGTAGAGTTTTTTGTTGTTTGGATTTTTGAAGTAGAATAAATAGCACAGTTAAACAGATTAAAGAGTTTGAAGTGTTGTACAACCCATTTTAGTACAGGCAAATAAGGTGAAAGTAAAAAATAAGTAAAATTTGTGCTATTTAAAGAAAAATTGTTTATCTCATAAACTAACCACTTTAACCTACAAGTAGTATACATTTTTGAAATCAGCTCAAAGAGGAGTATCCAAATTTTACATAAAAAATATGAGAAGTAATTAAAAAAAAGGATGATGCTAGGGGTGAGGGGGTGGCTTTTCCAGTAAGTTTAAATAAGCCATAATGCTTGCCCCTTCCAACATAAATTGACGTGTTTTTCGATTTTTCCTAAATACCAGTATTACCAAAGTTATTAAAGGTGGATACTTTTATCTGAAAAAAGCACTGTATACTGTTTCTTCTACTCGTCAACGTCTGAACTAAACTTGCTCGTTGGTAGGCTCCTCCACCACAAAAATGAATAGAAAAATGTTACTGTAAATTTTTCCACGTCCATCCTTTCTTGAATACTCTATGCAGCATTCATCTTCTCTTGTTGTCACGTTCATTTTTCTGGCAAACTTGCAGTCCGTTGATCGTCACTATTGATAATCAAATAGACTGAACGAATTGAAAACTTCAATTTGAATCACAAGCATTTTTGATCCTGAATGAACTTGGAGCTGCAAACCAGGCGCGTACCTGAGGGGTGGGTGGGTAATGGGGTAATTACCACCCCCATGACCATGACTACATAGAGAAAAAATTCGAACATTTCTTATTTTCAAACTCAAAAATGATGATGATGAAGACACATCTATGGGTTTCTACACCTGTCTTCTAGTCTTCTAGCTTCTAGGAGCATATTATCGAAAATAGGAAATGTCTCACTTCTATTATTGAGAGCATTATCTTTTTGGGTCGGCAGAATATTCCATTAAGAGGACATATAGACAGTGGAGCTATTGGGATGAAAAGATCTGAAACTGGAGATATTGATATGGACATGGCCGTAGCGAAAAGAAAAACCAGGGGGGACGGACCTTCCTAGTTTTATGCGTGTACGGTAGATCTTCATAATGTACAATCTACGTGACGTTCCAAGTTTCATGCCGCTAATGTTGGCCACAAGAAAAAGCTTAGAAAATAGCACCCGATAGAACTGAAAACCAAGAAACGTAATATTTTGGACACTCCTTGTTTTATTCCTGCACCCTTCAAATACTGCTGAATGACTTCGTCTTTGAACCATTTCTTCGTTTTTACTTTCCTGTCTCTTCAGTAGCGATTAGTAGCCTTTTCACAAAACTTAGAGGTACACCTTGGACCTGTTTCTCGTGCACACCTTGTCTTATCATGTTTAACTATACCATCATTTTTTTTACTATTATTTTTTTCTATCTTCACGGCCAAAAATTTCCCAACTTTTTCCCGAGTCGAAAAAGCAGGGGGGAGGCTCCCCCCCATCCCACCATGGCGGCGGCCCTGGATGTAGATGTAGAATCTTCACCCACTGCGAATGAAGGGAATTTTAGGGAACTCTTTACGTTTTCGCGTCGAAAATGGAGATACCGTACTGAAATACTATTTAAAAAACTCACCTTCAAAAGCAACGCACATCAGCGCAAAAACTCAAAATGACTGATCGAATTATGTAAAGAGGAAATTCTAACTACAAATGTCTGTCATACTCAGGTATGTTTCAAAAAATAAAATTTTTGAATATTTTGTCGGTTTTATAAATTCTCACGCCTCTAATTACAATAAACCTTCAGTAGAACCAGTTATGACAGGCACAGTGTCGTGAAACTAATGAAATCTTTGAATTTAAATATGGATCATTGTGTGGGAATTGGTACCGATGGGTGCAATTTAATGTTGGTTGAACAGAGACACAGTGTTCTATTGCACGTCAATGGAAAGAAATCAAAAAAGTTATGTGATACAAGGTGGTTTGAAAGACATGAATCAATTCAGCGATTTCAAGAAAGTTTTTCAAATATCATTGAATCCTTTGATTTAATATCTAATTAGAGAGAGAGAGAGAGAGAGAGAGAGAGAGAGAGAGATTCCGCATCTAAAGATGCTTGTCTGAAATTATCGCTTATTTCCACCAACTTCATTGTAAGTTTATGTTGTTTATCTGTATTAGGACTCACAGTAAATTTGAGTAAAATTTTACAGGTTAAAACCATATATATTTGTACGCTGAGAAGATCATTACGAATATTACAAACATTGCAATATAAAAGAGAGAAAGGTGACGACAATTTCAATAAAATCTACAAAGACAAATCGAAGATTCACGAAATTTTAGAGATCGACATAACTATGCTACGGGTGGTAGGTAAACAAACCATGAGACCAAATATGCAATGTAATAAATAGTCCTAAGGATTATTATAGAATCACTGTCTATTTCCCTGTCCTTGATAGTGTTATAGAGGATTTGAAATTCAGATTCAACAATAAAGCTGTGTTCTATTTTTCAATTGTTGTACCTTCCATCTGCTTGGAACATTCACATGTAGAGGAAAGTCGCCTTATATGGGGGTAGTGCCTAATATGGGGTAGTTCAATTTTAAGCAAGTATTTGTTCCGACACCTATTGTGAACATTAAAAACTAACCTCCGACTTCCTAGAAAGCGCCCATTCACGTTTTGGAGCAAACTCGTGTTGCGTTTCGATGATTTAGTTTATATGGTAATTTTGTGAACGAATAAAAATTTTTAGTGACTGTTACATTTTAGATATTTAAGGAAACTTGAAGGTAAGTTTTCAAAAACTTAATAATATCATTCAATACATAATTTGGCGTAGTTTATGGAAATGGTTTTGGTTTTTTTAAGAAAATGTCAGTTTTTTCACAAACATTCCCCTTTCAAAAATTTAATTTGCTCGTAATATAGGGTAGGCAGGTTTTTGAGGTGCCCGAAAAAACGCTACCGTTTAAAAAAGTGCCAAATTGTCAATCATATTTGCCCCATAACATTAAAAGTTTTTTGTAATTGCCGCGAAAAGCTAATTCTTGGGAACGCAAATAAATCGTAATATGGATAAGTCTTTTTAAATTCGACCGATTTTCCCTAACCTGATTATTAAAAGAAATTATGGCCTCTTTTCGAGCTGTATCTGAAGTTGTGGCTATATTTTGTTTGCTAAACAATTTTAATTTACAAGACGAAAATATATGCTCCTTAGATTTAAAATGTCTTTCTGTAGAACGAGATAATTTTTTTAAATCGGAG